ACCAGAGCTTGAACATCAAAGTGACCCCATTTGTCGCTATGATGCCCATGGGTACAGTAAGTATTTAACATAGCCCCAGTCAAAAATTATGAATGAAAAGCATACCTGTTTCCTAAAACCAAAATAAAATCCCAGATATACCAATGGTGTGGAAATACCAAACCATAAACATAGTAGAGCTAACATAGTTGTAAATGGTACCTAAAATAATTACAATATTTAATTTAAATACAATGCCAAATGAAATGAATGAAGTTTTATGCTCTGCCTTTCTGCACCTAATCAAGACAGGCAACACCATGCAAGGGTACAATGAGGGCAAATTTGTGGTATTGGCTTACATTTTTTTGATTTCTAACTCAGGAATCTTTGAAGTGCACAGCCTGTAACAAACACATGGAGACACTTTTCTCATGTCAGCCATTAGACCTCCCACTGACAGGGAGAAACTGGGTTGAAAAATCAAAAGGTGTTGTTATCTCAACCTATGCTCGGATTATAGAGCATGTCATTAGCCATTTAAAAACTGGACTGTCAGCTTTGGATTACACATAGATTTTTTAACATTCAGGTCAAATACTTACTGCTCCAGATGAATGTTTGCCCCAGAGGAAGAAATTGATCAAGAAACAAACACCAAACACCATTCCTGGATAAAACATGGCCGTTTGGAATGCTGCACTCTTCCATTGTATACCTTTCATAGTTTTATATAATCTTGCACAGAAATAACCAGATATAATTCTGTAATATAAATATACATTAATATAACCATGGAGTTATATATTTTATAGTTTTATATAATCTGGCACAGAAATAACCAGATATAATTCTGTAATATATTTATACATTAATATAACCATGGAGTTATTTATTTTATAGTTTTATATAATCTGGCACAGAAATAACCAGATATAATTCTGTAATATATTTATACATTAATATAACCATGGAGTTATATATTTTATAGTTTTATATAATCTGGCACAGAAATAACCAGATATAATTCTGTAATATATATATACATTAATATAACCATGGAGTTATATATTTTATAGATTTATATAATCTTGCACAGAAATAACCAGATATAATTCTGTAATATATTTATACATTAATATAACCATGGAGTTATATATTTTATAGTTTTATATAATCTTGCACAGAAATAACCAGATATAATTCTGTAATATATTTATACATTAATATAACCATGGAGTTATATATTTTATAGTTTTGTATAATCTGGCACAGAAATAACCAGATATAATTCTGTAATATATATATACATTAATATAACCATGGAGTTATATATTTTATAGTTTTATATAATCTGGCACAGAAATAACCAGATATAATTCTGTAATATATATATACATTAATATAACCATGGAGTTATATATTTTATAGTTTTATATAATCTTGCACAGAAATAACCAGATATAATTCTGTAATATATTTATACATTAATATAACCATGGAGTTATATATTTTATAGTTTTATATAATCTGGCACAGAAATAACCAGATATAATTCTGTAATATATATATACATTAATATAACCATGGAGTTATATATTTTATA